AGGCTGTTTCCAGATCTTAGCTATGGTGAATTGTGCTGCTATGAACATATGGGTGCACATATCCTTTCTGATTGGTGTTTCTGGTTTCTTGGGATATATTCCTAGAAGTGGGATCACAGGGTCAAATGGGAGTTCCATTTCCAGCTTTTTGAGGAAACTCCATACTGTTCTCCACAGTGGCTGCACCAGTCTGCATTCCCACCAGCAGTGCAGGAGAGTTCCTTTTTCTCCACATCCTCTCCAGCACTTGTCGTTTGTGGATTTGTTGATGATAACCTTTCTGACAGGTGTGAGATGGTACCTCATTGTTTTGTTGCATCTCTTTGATGATTAGTGACTTTGAGCATGTTTTCATATGTCTCTTGGCCTCTTTTGAAAGGTGTCTATTTAGGTCCTTTGCCCATTTTTTTATTGGATTGTTTATCTTCCTTTTGTTAAGTTGTATGAGTCAATATTCACTTTTCAATCCTCATTTCATGTGGTGCAGTGAATCAGTCCTGATCTCTGAGTCAGGCTTGCAGTATAGCACACCTACCTGATTTTCCTCCACTCTTCCTAGCCACTCCTTCTCAGTCTTCTTTGCTGGGTCCTGCTCATCTCCCAACCCATAAATACAGTGGGGCCTTGACTTATGAGTGTCCCGACTAACGAGTTTTTTGAGATACCAGCTGTCTCTCCGCCGATTTTTTGCATTGAGTTGATAGAGTAATTTGAGTTAATGAGCTCCTTAACGAGCTCCTTAATGAGCTCAGTCTCAGAATGAATTAAACTCGTAAGTCAAGGCCCCACTGTACTTAACTCCAGACCTCTATACCTGTCAACCTAACACCTCGAATTAGATGACCAAAAAGAATCTCTCAGCTTAACATCTAAAACTGAGCTCATGATAGTCCCCCCTAAATCTGCCTCTTTTGCAGCTTTCCTCATTTCAGTTAATGACAATGTCAGTTTGCTGGTTAGACCAAAACCTTAACCCCCCTCCTTCTCTCACACCGACTTCTAGTGTTCCAGCAACCCCTACTGACTCTACTTCCAAATTATGTCAGATTCTCCCCTCCCACTTCTCACCCGTCTGATGGCTGCAAGCCATCTCGATCTCTTTTGCTTTTTGTTCTCTTCCCTTGTGTACCTTCCGTCTCTTCTCTACAGAACAGCCAGCATGATCCTGGAAAAGCGTGTCATCAGCCCTCGGCTCAGAATCCTGTGCTCCCTATTTCTCTCTCTCAAAAAGAGTCCTTGCCATGACCAGCAAACTTCACTTCCTGGCATCTGTTATGTCTCTGACTGTAGCTCCTGCTCTGTCCTCCTGATCCAGTCCGCCTCCTTCCACTTCTGTCCTTGCATTGCTACCCTGGCCTGGGCTGCTCTTGCCCCAGCTCTCCACTTGGATCACTGTCAAATCCTTCAGGGCTTTACTCAAAAGTCTCTCTCTGTGAGCCCTTCCCTAACCTTTTAAAATTTAAACTGTAGAATGTCAAGGGACTCAGCCAGTGCAGCTGGAGTGAGTCAGCAGCATCAGGATCAGGGTGGGGCGAGCTTGGCTGGCATGGCTGCTCCAGGGCTGAAAGAGGGCCCACGTAGTTGGGAGGTAGCTTCCTAAAGTCAAAAGGTGGTCTTCAGTGTGATTTTCAAAGTCCTTCACAATCTGGCCCCCAAATGCCTTTCCGAAGTTACTTACTGCTCTGAGAGAACTTTCTGCTCAAAGTAATCAAACTCACTATTTTTTAACCCACTTTGCAGGGTCCCCACCATAGGGCCTCTTAAAGTTTGTCCTTGCCCAATCCTGATTCAAATCTCTCTTGAATTTCATCAGAGGGTCTAGGAAATGTATGGCAGAGAGAAAATTAAGCATTTGTGTACACAGACCCTCTGATGAAGTTCAAGAGAGATTTGAGATTTGAGTGTACACAAATGCTTAATTTTCTCTCTGCCCTTCATTTACTCTATTTCGACTTCTCTGTGCAAATTCCCAAGCCTTTTCTGACTCAACTGTTTAACAAATTTTGAATAATTTAATTCGTTTACCTCGGACTTGACTAAATCTTCCTTCACTGATCTAGGGTTCCCTCTCAATCCTTCCTGGATGTCTACAATGGAATTTTGCAGTGACTTTTTATACCCTAGTTTTGGATATAATAATTTTGTTAAAGAATTATTAAAATGCAGCACGTATGCTAACCTTTTTTATAATTACCTACAACAAAACTTTGAAGGGTAACCCCAATCTGGGGAGAAGGAAGTAACGGTATTCATTGGTATTAAACCTGTTTCAAGTTGTTTTTATTATTGGGACAAAATGAGAGTAAGGAATGGTTTTGTTTGCTGCTCTTCTCAAAGTCAGAATTGCAAGGAACCTCGGAGATCACCTAATTTAACCCATGCATTTGGAAAGTGAGGTTGAGGGAGGTTATTGTTCAAGAACATGAGTCACAGGACAGTTAAGAAGCCTTTCCCAACACTACCATAACTTAAAATACCCCCTTCTATTACCCTATCTACTTTATTCTGCTGTATTCCTCTTTAGAGTACTTATCACTCTCTGACATCATTAGTCCTTTGTCTATCTTGTCCAGGGGTCCTCAAACTACGGCCCGTGGGCCACATGCAAATACAAATATTGTATTTGTTCCCGTTTTGTTTTTTTACTTCAAAATAAGATATGTGCAGTGTGCATAGGAATTTGTTCATAGTTTTTTTTAAAACTATAGTCCGGCCCTCCAGTCTGAGGGAACAAATATTGTATTTGTTCCCGTTTTGTTTTTTTACTTCAAAATAAGGTATGTACAGTGTGCATAGGAATTTGTTCATAGTTTTTTTTAAAACTATAGTCCGGCCCTCCAACGGTCTGAGGGACAGTGAACTGGCCCCCTGTTTAAAAAGTTTGAGGACCCCCGATCTTGTCTATGAAGGAAGGAATTTGTGTTCATTTTTTCATTGTTAGAAAAATGCCTGGTACATACTAGGTGTTTAAAAACTAACAACTGAATCAAGGTAGGCTTTTATATAGTTTGCTTAAAAAGTAAAATAAAATAAAAATACTGGTACTGATGTTTGTTCCTAGCTTAGCAACACAACAGTCCTTGCCATTATGAGGATTTCTGCGGAGGTTTTGGACATTTTCCAAGAAGGCAGGCAGTATCAAGTATGGTAATACTAGTAGATGGCAATGATCAGACAAGAATGGCTAAAAGCCGTCTGTAATTTCCAGCTTTTCCTTTGCTCCAGGGCAGAGCAGTATCTAACTCTGGATAAGTGGCCTCCTCTATGTAGAATTGGAGGAAGATCAAATCACTTAGAGAGCACCTACCTTGGTCCCTTCCCTTCTTTCCTTCCCTTCCCCACTCTTGCTTTTGGTTGCTTTGTTTTTATTCTCTTGATAAATTGATTTTGGCTAATAATAGTACAGCAGAGCAAAGATTTTATTGATCAGTACAGCACAGGAGACCATTATGATGGTAGGTTCAGAGTCCTGGTAGTCTTAAATGTTACAATGAGTCCAGCTAAAGGAAATTCTGTTTACCTTTTTAAAAGAAAAGTTGATTTAAAAATCAGTAAATTTTTATTTTTAATAAAAAAATTAATTATGTAAAACACACTGATGTCAGAGCTTTTAAGAAATATTTCCAACTTTTCAAAGTACATAGCGCAAACATAAACGTTATCTTTACTGCAATAAAATCTTTGTGAGAGTTGGTTTTAATAGACTGGGCTGTTAGTGATGAGGTTACAGATACCTTTCTTTTCAGCCATATCAAACTTTCCCCAGAGACTTTTCCTGACTCTGAAATCTAAAACAGGTTCCCTTAAGTCATAGCATCTGTACTTTCTGAGGCAGATTGGGAAGGGAATTAGTGACCTAGTGGATGCCGCTGAGAGATGTTTGCAAGGGAAATGCTAATGAGACTCAGGTGTGTAGTCTGGGAGCCTAAGTGGCTGAGAGAGAATCAGGTGCAAAAGGACATTTCATATAGACGATAAATATTCACACATTTTGAGGCTGTGGTCTGTTTGGTCAAAGAGCAAAAGACCGTACCTTCTCTGCCGGCATAACTTTACCCAGGGATCCTGCAAATCGATGCCCCGATTTGCAGGATCCCTGGGTAAAGGGACTTACTTGCAGGGATTGGGCAAGAGGAGCTACTGTTACACTGTTCATGCAGCCACTGACCTGCTGCCTGACCTTGGGCAAGCGGCTGAATTCTCTATGACTTAATCCTCCCATCTGCACCAGAGGATAACATGGAACTTACACTGTGGTGATGAGGGATAAATGAGACCATACACGGGAACGCTTACGTGTGAGTTTCAACAAATGTTAAGTGACAGATAAGCGATCAATAAGCGACAGGTCTCGAAAGCGCGAGGTTTTAGAGAATTGTTTAAAGGACAGGCCTTCGGAGAGGCCCCGAGCGGACAGGAAGGCCTCCCTTGCAATCCTCGGACCCTATTGCCGCCTGTCATTCACCTGAGGATTCGCCGGGCCCAGGCTGCAACTCCAGCTCGCTCCGCCAGGGGCGCCAGCCGCGGGCCTCTGTGGGCTCAGCTATGCTGAGGTAGGCGTCCGGTCTCCTAGGCAACCACGTCAACAGCCGGTTTGCAGCGCAGCCTGGGAAGGAGAGCACATTTCCGCCACGTGATCAGCGCTGGTGCCGCGAGTGCAGGAGCGGTGCGCCCGCAGCCCGCAGCCACCTGCGGGGTCCAAAGTTGGGCTTGGCTGCTCGACAAGGCGC